TAACTATGCCAGTGATTACACGTAATTCCTAACTATGCCAGTGATTACACGTAATTCCTAACTATGCCAGTGATTACACGTAATTCCTAACTATGCCAGTGATTACACGTAATTCCTAACTATGCCAGTGATGACCCGTAATTCCTAACTATGCCAGTGATTACACGTAATTCCTAACTATGCCAGTGATTACACATAATTCCTGATCATTTCAATTATTTCACAATTTCCGTTTTACTTGAACATATAAAAAAGTGTTATGAAGAGGATTCACATGCAATTTATTCATTGAATTATTGAACTTGAAAAGTGACTGAGTGACGGCAAGAGTTATATATATTCCTGGCAGAGTCGGCACCAGTTACAACGGTTTTGGTATTATATAACATGCTGACTAGGTGGCACGAGAAGAGGCTACAAGACGTGTAGTCGGACACCGAAGGAAAGAACTGCTAAAATACGATGATGACGGTCCTCTGTCCCGAGGGAAATATACGATATTGGGCCCGTATTGAGAGGTTATTGACCTCCTAACCCTAATTATCAATAAAATTCGGTTACATCACCGTTTGCTAGCTTTAGCTGGTATGTACCACGTGCTATAGTTTTCAAGCAGTCCTCTATGTGCTTTGAAAACGTTAATCTGTCGCCTCAAGCTCTGTCAATGCCACTGGGACCATTAAATTAGTATGGGCCTTTCCTCACCTGCTGGGTCAGCGCATTCAGTTTTCCACGCCAGATTTTCATGCGTTCTACAATTGCCTTGATTTTTCAAGACCTCCCTGGAGTATCGAGGATGACCAGGGGAAGGGCCACACATGTAGAAAGAAACAGAGGAAGCTCAGGAGAGTTGTATATTTACAAATGTTGGAAATTAGTGATTGGAGTGAAAGCTCGGTCAAAAAGAGGCGAGTTTCTTGTGGTTCTGTAGCTCTCAATGGCCTCGTTTTTACTGGTCCATCTTTCCGTGTTCGCGCCAAAACAGTGGTGCTGACTCTGTTCTTGTTATAGAAAGAACGGTAGATATGACGGTCATATCCTGCCTCAGAAATGTCCCCAAGAACAATGAAACCACGATTTTCTATGACTCGGCTGTCTTGATGCAGGACAAGTTTCAGGGTTTCAATCAAATTCTTTCTTGGTTACCTCTGCGATTCACTGTTACTCCCTAGGAACGGAGCAGTATCAAGAACGTAATCTTTTGCTGAAACCGTACTTGGTGATTTTGCATAGTCTTTTTTTCTAACCATAATACATTACCTGGTTCTTTGATATTCTTGGTCACTACTTTGTCCAACATACATTTAGGTCCCGTCTAAAATGACGGTGGTATGATTATCAAAAAAAATAATCTTAGCGTAGATGTTCGATAACATACTCTCTTGGAAATTCACTGGATGCAGTATACAGGGAAGCGACTGTGTAGCATCTACATCTTCAGCAACATTATGGAAGATGCTAGCTACTGACAGTTGACCGATCGAGCTTATTATAGAGATGCCAAAAATGTATCATTTAAAGACAGACAAACCGGTTGAACCGGATACACAAAAGGGACCTTGGTTTGACAAGAAGATAATTTCCTCGATTCGCTCGGCAAGGACACCTTGATCATACTGGAATTTATCATTGTACTATGTTTCTACTGGATAGCTTTCAAGTGACTTATTATTAAAAAGCAATACACGGAATTACCTAAAATTGGACTACAATACAAAGCTAAATTGGACTCTTTCCTCGGGTGGGTGAAGCCTTTGACTCTCCAAAATGGCCTCGAACCTTCGTCGCTCGCACACTGGCCTTTAGCATGGGTAGCGTACACACGAAGACATCACTCCCCACCAATCTTTCAAAATTCATGGTTTCGCCCGAGCATCTTAACACAGACCTCGGTGGGTGGGGTAAAATTTGTGTGCATCCCAAGTTTTTTAAGTAAAAGTATGCAAAACAAAGTTTAGAATTTGGACATGATATTTTGTTAAAAACTGGTTCAATAATGTCATTCGGACAGGCCTACACTAGGACATTGACATCAATTGGTTACTAGTATATCACGGACTTAGATAGCTAATTCCGTGGTTGTAATGCTATATGTGCAATGTGTAAATCAAAGCAAGAGGGCGCTCACCATCCATGCTATGTATGTGCTTTTATTTTCTTATACATGTCGTATATATTAACCTCAAATGAACGTTACCAGGCTGGAGGGACTTGCAGGTAGGGGCTGTCCGGGTTGTTTGACCTCCGTGCTACAAATCGGCCAAAAATGTGTGTCACTTGTGTTTTTATTGCAACAAATGTGTTTCCAGAATGATCTTATGATTAAGTATATCAATATCTCTAGTATTTTATAATTCATATATACTAGATTAGATTAGATTGTTTTATTAACCTCGAGTCACCTGACTCATGGGTATAATACATATATTACAAGATAAGTACAACATGTTATACAATACAATACAGAATAACATATGGACATATGTTAAGAGGAGAGTGACTCTTTACGTACACTTGTTGCCAAATGTAAATATTTTCCAAGATTAAAAAGTTCCTTTACATTATTGGTACTTAATAGTTGAGTTAGTTTAAACACACTCGGACTTAAACGATAATATTTCTTTATGTACTTTAACCTTAGATTTTCATAAAATGGACATTTGAGAATAAAATGAAACTCATCTTCAATGTCGCCTAAATTACATCTAGTACACAGTCGATTATGACGGTTTATATTATTCCGCCTCCCGACCTCAATATTTAAACTGTGAGAGGACAGTCTATAGCGAGTAATTTGACGCTTGAATTTTGATTGGATTGGCTTACGCAAATAAAACTGTAAGTCGACATTGTCTATCAGGTGTTGATATAAATACCCCTTTGAAGAATTTGAAATATTTGTTAACATACTTTGTCGTGAAACATCGAGCAATCTTTGTTCTATAATCTTTGCCGCAATATTAATAGGTAAGTT